TCCCTTGCTGGGCTAAGCCACCATCATCTCTCATGGGGACTATTGCAATAGCTCCCGGAGCCAGTTGTACTGGGCTGAATTATGTCTCCCTAAAATTCATGCCCACATGGAACCTCAGAATATGACCTTATTTGGAAGTAGGGTTTTGCATATATAACTAGTTAAGATGAGGTCATACTGGATGTGGAAAGGCTCTAAAACCAATGACTATGTCCTTGTAAGAAGGCCATGTAAAGATACTCAGAGAACAGACAGATAAGGAGGAATGTCATGTGATGATGGAGGCAAAGATTGGAGTGACACAGCAGCAAGCCAAGGATTGTTGGCAGCCACCAGAAGCAAGGAAGAGGCGAGGAAGGATGCTGCCCTAGGGCCTTCAGAGAAGAGCATGGTCCTGCAACAACTTGATTTTGGCCTCCAGAATTGTAAGAGAATAAATTTCTGTTGTTAAAATCCATCCAGTTTTCCATCCTTTTTTATGGCAGCCCCAGGAAACTAATATACTCTTCTTGTTCCCCCATAGTCCTACCTCAACAGAGCAGCACAGTCATCATTTTAGAATGTAAGTCAGGTCATATCGCTCCTCTACCCAAATGCCCTCTAATGAGGTCCCTTCCCACTGAGAATGAAGTCAATGTCCTTCTGGAGTCCTGCAAGGTCCTGCGTGATCTGCCTCTGGTGCCTCTCTGATGTCAGCTCCTACTACTCCTCTTACTTGCTCACACTGGCTCGTGCTGGTTTTCAAACATATAAAGCACATTCCTACTTCAGAGCTTTAGCACTTGCTTTTCCTTGTGCCTGGAACACTCTTGCCCACATGTCCTTATGGCATCACATCACTTTCTTCTTGTCATGAAGTCCTTCCAGACCACTCTAAAATGGCACCCTCCTCCCATTCTCTGTCATCTTACTCTGCTTTATTTTCCTTGCAGAACCTGTACTCACCCAACACAGTATATGTTTATTTGTTTATTACTCTTTCTCTCCATAGAAAGAAAGCTCCATGAGAGCTGGGGCTATGTTTGTTCACTGTTCTTCCCTGACGCCTAGAAGAAGGCTGGCACGGAGTGGGTACTCAACCAATACCTTTGGAGAAAAATCAATAAATGAATCTGCTAAGAATAAGAAGGGAGATGTTGGGATCAAAGGAGATTGTTGAAAGTTTAAAAAGAAACTGATGAATAATGGGAAAAAAAGGGGACTGAGAAAGAGAAGGACTGCTGGAACATTGAGGTGACAATTGATATCAGAAACCGTGAATTTACAGGGTCATCCACGTGAGCACTACACTTGGGTTTAAGCACAAAATAGGTTAAACTGTGCAGAGGAGGCCCTGCTTACCAGTGTGTACATCAGTAACTGGACAGCCTTTGTATTAAAAAGTCATGTGACAATTTTTAAAAAATAAATAAATCAACACTGTCGACCACGTGGGAGATTGCAGAGCATCCTCTAGTCAGATTAGATAACTTCTAAGATCTCTGTAGACTCTAACGCTTGCCAATTCTCCTCCCCCTCCTTCTTCTTCTCCTTCTCCTCTTACTCCTACTCCCCCTCCTCCTCTTCTTTCTTCTCTTTCTCCTTCCTCTTCTTTTTCTTCTTCACCAACACTGCTGGCATCAGAATCCACAATTTACTTCTTTTTTTTTGCCACAGCTAACTTCTTCCTGACTGTCATCGTTTCAGAAAAAAATAAGGGAGTATAATTTATATTAAGCTTGGAAAGCATTTTATCTTTCTTGAATAGATCATCTTTCCAATAGTTACTCTGCCAGCTGGGATCCTGGAAAAAGCCCTACAAATATCTTAAGGGCATTTGTGCCTGGAATAAAATCTCCTGAAAGGAGGAAGGAATTAGTGCTTTGGGAACACCGCAAGACACTACAAGCTTCTGGTTTAATGTACCGGGCTATGATGAATCTTATCGCTGCATATCTAGAATTGGTCTAATGGCTATTGAATAATCAATTTTTCTTTATGTCAGCTTCCTGGAGACTCCTCTGTGGGCTGCAAAAATGCCCATGCAGTTAATGCCTAAATGCCTTCTGTAACATATTCGTGATCAGTAGAGTCAAATAAAATTAGTCCATAACTAAAGGACTAATAAACTAATTTTAGTCCTTTAGTTATGTAGAGGTCTCCCAACCTAGAAAAATAGTGAGAGTGTAGAAAGAGCCAGATTGAGTGGTCCAATGTCAACTTAGAAAGAAACACTTGATACAGGAGTTTGCCAGAGAGTTCTTCAATGTGGAGTAACTTCTTAGACTAACAGCTGAATGGACACTGAATGCACATGGAGAAGGTGTTTAAACACTTTTCCCCTAAATAGTCTTTCAGACTCATATGCATATGAGTTAGGAGTCTTGATTTGGCAGTTGTAGCTTATTGACACCATGCTTCAAATAAATCTCATTAAGTCAGGTTGGATTTCCACAGCTTCACTTTTTGTTCCCATTTCCTGGTGTTTAATGGAACTATGAGGAAAAGAGACCCTATAGCTTTACTTCTGGTGTCCCAGATGTATCTGGGATACTCCACTACCTAGACTTAGTGCCTACAGAAGAGAGTCGTGTGTGTGTGTGTGTGTGTGTGTAAGAGGGGGAAGCAGAGGAATGTGGCCTGAAGGAAGGACCAGAAGCTGTGGCAGTCCATGTCTCAGTGGTACTTATTGAGAACCTTTCAGTCTGACTTTCCCTCTGAGAGAGATTGATTAATCCATGAGAAGGAGAGTGTTGAGACACGTGATCATGAAACAAACAAATGATAATGTCTTATATTAGTTGCCTGTTGCTGCTGTAACAAACTACCATACACCACAAATGGCTTAAAACAACACAAATTTATTATCATGCATTTCTGGAGGTCAGAAGTCCAAAATGGATCTTAAGGAGCTAAAATCAACAGGGCTGGTTCCTTTTGGAGGCTCAAGGGAAGGAAACAAATTCTCTGGCTTCCAGAGGCTACTCAGAATGTTTGACTTGTAGTCTGTTCCTCCATCTTCACATTTCATCACTCCAACCTCTGTTTCCCTGTCACATCTCTCTTACTTTGACTCTCCTGTCTCCATCTTATAAGGACCCTTGTAGTTTCTTTTGGTCCCCCCAGATAATCCAGGATAATCTATCTCAAGATCCTTAACAATCACATCCACCAAGTCCTTTCTGCCGTGTAAGGTAACATATTGGCAGGCTTGGGGAATTAGGACATCTTTGTGGGGCCCTTACTCTGCCTACCACAGGCGTGATCTTCAGTCTGTGCTCATGTGCCAGCACATTATTCTGAGCATCAAAACTTTTGCTAAGACTGCCTCTTCCAAGCTTGGGTCCAGATGGCATGGGTACTGCTCAGCATAATTCTCTGTAGGAACCAGATGTGTTCCCAGAGGTGTCTTCATCATATTCAAGTCATCAAATTATTTCCAGTTACATCTTAGAAGCTTGTAGAGTCTAGATCACCAACTAGCTGAACAAGGGAGGGATAGCGGGAGGGAAAGCACTGTTCTGTGATTACCTCCAGGACCCAGAGCTGCTGCTCTACTAAGACGACTAAGTGTTGAGAGCGCTGGTTTCAGAAATCCTAGTGAAGTTGCAAATTGCTTACCTGCTCAGGCTCCATGAGGACCCCATCACAGAGCACTCTGCTTCAGTTTCTTAGTAATCCCTTTATGGCTGAGAGTTCCTTTACCCAGGGACTGTCTCTTGAATTAAGAAGTCCAGTGGAATTCACTGGCAATGAACGGGGTCAGATAGATCTGGAAGCAGAATCATGTCACTCTTAAAATTTCCGTTGCTTTGATCTTTACTTATTTGTTATTGTTATTTAATTTTAGAATTATTTTAAACATGCAATTTTATTTGGAAATTACAGATGAGAACGGTTTTTGAAGGCACAGCTTCAGAATATAAATCAATTGAATACCTCCTTAAATGTAATTTTTCATTATAATAGTTAAATATAATGATTTTTTCAGAGACCTTCAGAGTGCTTGATTTAATAAAAACATTACCACATTAACATTAATAAGTCGTTACTCTGTGCTAGGCACTTTTGGGGATGTTTATTATTTCTATTTTATGGATGAAGAAACTCTGGCAGACGGAGGCTAAGTGAGATGTGAAAGGCTTCCCATTTGGTGAGTGGTAGAGCTGAGCGCTGACTCCGGCAGCCTGTTGAAATTCCCTTTATCTTCAAATCTATGGTACCCTACCTTCCACTTAGTTGTTTTAGTGTTATCTCAAGACAAAGCTCTCCAAATCAGCTTTCTTTTTTTTTTTCCCCTTTTCCTTAAATTTCTGAACATAGGGATTTAAAAGATCTGTTGGGTCAAAGTGAATTTGACTCAAATCTGTTGACTCATAAGTTGTATAACACCAATTCTTCCATATTCAGTTGGTCAAAGCAACTCACAGCCCAGCTCAGATTAAAAAGGTGGGAAAATAGATTCTACCTCTTGATGGCAAAAGGGACAATTAATTTGTGGTCATGTTTAATGTGGTACACTTCATGTAGTTTCCATGGAATCTTAAAAAAATATGCTTATGCAAATGTTGGGTGTGGTGTTCTATAAATTTGTATTATGACAAATAAGTCACTATTGTTCAAACTTATATCATTACAGATTTTTTACTTATGTTTTTATCAATGACTCCACTGTAATTATGAATTTGTCTATTCCTCTGTTTAGCTTGTAAGTTTTATAGCTCTGCTTCTAGGTGTATATTACATATAGGATCATTCTGTCTTCTTGATAAATTGACCTTTTTTCATTATGAAATGTTCATTATCTCTGGTATGGAAAGTTACTTGGTCAATATTAATTTTGCCATACCAGCTTTTTTTTCTTCTTCTTCTTAAAGATTAGCACCTGAGCTAACAACTGTTGCCAATCTTTTTTTTTTCTTTCTGCTTTTTCTCCCCAAATCCCCCCAGGACATAGCTGTATATTTTAGTTGTGGGTCCTTCTAGTCGTGGCATGTGGGATGCCACCTCAACGTGGCCCATCGAGCGGCACCATGTCTGCACCCAGGACCTGAACCAGCAAAACCCTGGCCTGCTGAATTGGAGCGTGGGAACTTAACCACTGGGTCTTGGGGCCAGCCCCTCAGCTTTTTTATAGTTACTATTTGCAATGGGGTACACATTTTCTCATCTTTTGCTTTTAAAGTATTTGTGTTTTTATATTTAAAGTGCGTCTCTTGCAAACAGGATATAGTTGAGTCCTACTTTTCTATTCACTCTAAAAATGTTTGCCTTTTAACTTCCCTTCTCCTTGTAAGGTGACAGAGTCACCAGTTCCAGGGGCTAGAACCTGGACATATTTGGGGCCTATTCTTTGGTCTACCATACATATCTTCCTTGCAGCCTCACCTCCCCCTCCTTCTAAGCTCCAGTGTAATTCTCCTCAGGGAAAGTAATAATAATACTCATAATAATAACAGCACAAACAATAAACGAAACAAAAAACTGTCCATGACAGGAAAAATAAATGCCAACACAGCCTTGAGGGGAGGGAAGAATTCTTCTCTTACTTTTAAATCTCCTAAGGAAATAGAAGGAAAAAAAATTAATAGTTAATCATTAATAAAGTACATCTCTACTGTTTACTTTCTTCTCCCCCAAATTCTTGAAACTCTCTCAAAATATCTAAAGATAAAAGTACCATGAAAACATCAATTTATATAATTCTTTGTCAATATCTTTGCCCAGAGCACCAATCGTGAGTTTAGGCAGAGATGGATTTCTGGAAACCAAGGGATGTTTTGAATGTCAGAGAATGTCCAGGGAAAGAGTGTCACATTCCTTTCTCATAGGTTTGATCTTTGTCACTTGCCTTAGATCTGATAGCCTTACAGGAAACAGAATTCTAAGAATACTTTTGGATTACACCCTGGGAGAATTATGCCTCAATCATCTCTGTTCCATTAGAGATGTTCAGACAGCCGTGCTTATGAAGAATTTGCATTCACTCCCTTCTAAATAAAAAAGTGAATTAAATTTATTGACAGGATTTCAGGATGAAAGTTTTCTTCTACTTTTCTTTTCACTTTTGTGTAAATTACCTCGGGGTATAATTTTCATTGGTCTTTATCTCAAACTAGAAGAACTAAGTTTAATCAAAATGACAGGCAAAGTTTTTTTTTGTAGGACTTTATGACACAGGTCCTTTCTGTGTGGACTAAAATAGCACTAAAACATCTAGCTCTGATTAACTAAAACAACTCCTTCCACAGGTAATGATTTTCTGGATGAGCAGGGAATGGGCTTTGAAAAATAGCACTAAAATGAAGAAAGTGGGTTTGTGTCTGGGACATACACAAGTTTAGACGGTCTGTAACTTATAGATCTGGTGAATGATAGTGTGCTACTGCCATTGCTGGTATTAGACTTGGAAGTTTCTGTGGTTCTGCAGAGTCTGCTCTGAAGACAGAATCAAGATAAGTAGTTCTTTTTAATAAATCTCCTACAATGGAATCTTACTCAGCCATAAAAAGATGAAATCATGCCATTGATGACAACATGGATGGACCTTGAAGGTATTAGGCTAAGAGAAATAAGTCAGAGAAAGACAAATACAGTATGATTTCACTCATATGTGGAAGATAAACAAACACATAGATAAGAACAGGTTGGTGGTTACCAAAGGGGAACGGGGTGGGGAAGGGCAAAAGGGTAAAGGGGCACATGTGTGCAGTGGCAGATGAAAACTAGACTATTAGTGGTGGACATGATGCAATCTATACAGAAGCCAAAATAAATGATGCACACCTGAAATTTACACAATGTTATAAACATGTGACCTCAATAAAATAATTAAAACTCAAGAAAACAAATACTTCATTTCTTAGTACAGCTCTTGTTATACTTAAAAAAATCTATAATCAAGTAACAGTGATTTTAAAGTTTTTGAAGAGTTATGAATTAATGAAACTTTATGAGAAGTTATGAATTAAGTAAACTTTACAGTATTTCCATGGGAGATTATGACGTGTAATAGGAATTTTGAAAAATTAGAGAATGAGTAGAAATAAATGAAAATGAAAGTCTTACCCCAAAAAATACAAACCTCCCAAACGTACAGTTACAACCTTCCACTGGGCAACAAGGCAGCCATTAGCTCCAAACACTTGCACTTTACTTGGTTGTCATTACCAGAAGAATATCTGTCCTTGGGTAGGGAGGTGGCAGTCTCAGCTGGGCACAGGTGTCTGGAAGAGATTATAGGAGTTTGTCAGTGTCAGTAGAAAATGTCATTGTCAGGACAAAAGGTTGGGAGCGTCATTGCTCAAAGTTTCACTCTCAAACGCCTGGTGCTTGCTTTGTGCCACCATCCATTGAGCCAAATCTAATTCTCATCCATCGTGCTTGCTCCTAACAGTCACTTAGAATCAATTCTAGCTGTTCTCAAAGACGTGCGGAAGTCTGGCTCCTATCCCAGCTTTATGACCTCACTTAGGGCTGACAGTCTTAAACCCCAGCAGCACCCAGGATTGAAAACGTAAAACTTGCCTTTGGGAATAAGGATACTTTATTCAGTAAATATTTATTGATCCTCCATCATGTGCCAGACACCGTGAAAGAGGATAGGGGGAAGTGTTTGGAGAGAAACACCAAGTGGGAGGTGGGAGCGGTACTGTCCTTAGACCTGAGAAGAGGAGCCCCTGTCATGTGCCCTCACTATACAAGGTGCTGCTCTAGGTCCTTCTAGCCTCACCCTGCCACATGGCACAAGGAGACTGTAGGCCAAGGGTACATGCCCACTCAGAGTCCATCCAGAGCCCACATCTCCTTTCAGACCATGCTCAAGGCACTAAGATCCGAGAATTTTCTACCCAAATGGCTCAAGTTTACTTCCTGAGCCCACAGGGGCCTCTTTCCTGGGTTCATTCTCTCAGGGCTAACCATCCTCCAGCATGACCATCCCTTGGACCTGGGACTGACCAAGAGGCAGCTGGTGGGGAAAGAGGATGTATGAATGAAACTTGGAGGTATGGGCTAGAGGTTACACTCATGTGACCAAAGCCCTTGTAGTGAGGGAAGGATCCAAGGGTAGAGAGAGAAGGGGCATAGCCACAGAGTCTAAGAACTCAGACCTGGCCATTTAGACTTCATGAAGGTATTTGTAAAGTGAAGAGGATAACACTTATTTTAACAGTTTTAACTTTTAAATATTAGACATCTGGTATACATTTGTACTTCTGCCTTGGACCCTGTAAATATTAAGAGCTTGTCTGTAAGCTTGGAGTTAAGAAATCAAACCAAATTATTATGTATCATCGGCTTCTGTATGGTTTAGTAGGTGTATCTCAAAATTTTTTCGGGGCTATAGTACTCCAATTCTGAAGTCAGATGTCTAGGTTCAAAACCAGGCTCTATCTTTGAATTCTCGTGTAATCTTGGAGAAGTTCCAGAGGAAGCTTACCTAACAGATACACTGGTTGATCTGTGTTCTCCATTCCCTCTGTAAAACAGACCAGTGACATCCAGAGCACTCATTCCAGTTACCTACTACTGCAAAGCAAACCATCCAAACTTAGTGGCTTAAAATAACTCTTTTATTTTGCTTACTAACCTGTGATTGGGAAGTGCTCAACAGAGATGGCTCATCTCTACTCCACATGGTGTGAGGTAGAGTGGCTTGACTGGGACTGGAGGTAGTTCATTCACATGGCTGGCATGTTGGTGCTGGTGCCAGCTGGGAGCTCAGTCAGGACTAGGGGCTATGGGCCTTGGTTTCTGTCCATGTGGCATCTCTACAGTTTGCTTGGGCTTCCTTGCAGCATGTGGCCACATTCCAAGAGGCAGTGTGACAAAAGAACAAGGCAGAAGGGTGTGGCATCTTTGTGACTTAAGCGTGGAAGTCACACAGCATCATTTTCACCATACTCTGTCAAGCAAGTCACCAAGGCCCCTCCAGCTTCAAGGAGAGGGACACAGATTCCAGATGAGCATGTGAGATGGTACACGTAACTATAACTATCTTAGAATATAGAATCCTCTCTAATAGTCCCATACACTTGCGCTCTCACCAGGTGAATTGTCTAAGAGTTAATTCTTAAATCTCTTAATAACCGTTGTCATCATATAATTTAATTAAATGTGATAACTAATGATGAAATCTGAGTGTGGAAAAGATGGCTTTTTCCCCTGTGAACACTAGAATGAATCCTTTGGATGGGCATTCACCAGATAAGAGCAAGCCCTGCAACTTGGGTGTTGGAAAAACAGCTATGAAAGATTGTAAAAAAGAAAAAAGGAGTCTAGAAGGACTCTGCATTGGATTGCTTTACACATGTCTCCAGGTTCATTTCACATCAAAGAAACTGAAACTAGAAAATGTTGAGCATATGCTATGTGTGTGGTTTCTGCCAGAAAAACAGTGCCGAATTCCAATTAGCAATTTCTACCAAAAGAAAAGCCCTTGTCAAATTGATGTACATACATATGTTTCAAAGAAAAAAGAATGTTTAAAGTATGCATGAATCCGTTTTTAACAATTCCTTATTTTAATTGGCATTTTCAATTAACTAATTACTGATACTTACTGCATTCAACACGAAGGCTTCCATTCTACTTGATCTCCTTTTGTCTCAGTTTACTCATCTGTAAAATGGATATCATAACTACAATTCTTATTCACGGTGTTTTTGAAATAATTAACTAAAACAATCTACTTAAACATTTAGCATATAGTAAGCACTTGATTATTATAGTTATTATCATAATTACTTTGGGTCAGAAGGAGGAGACAGGCTTGAGATCCCTCAGGTGATCAGGATCTCGCAAGAAACCCTTGGGGAGTTGAGGAGGGTTAGGAAAGCACCTCAATTTTCCCACAGTACGTATCACAAGGAATTGAAGCATCATTCCAGATCCTCAGGAGCTCCAAGATCCTCTTGTCCTCTCTGTCAACAGCACCTGTCGGGACCTACTCTAGTGACTTTGCTGTTCTCAACACTCCGCTTCTTTTCTAGCTGCTTCTCTCTCTACTCTTGAGTTCTCTCTATGGCCACCCTGCCTCTATTTCTTCCTTTTACTTCTTGTGTCACTAATTCACTCCTCCAGAGAGAAGCTCTCACTAGGTTGGCTGGTCTTCATTCAAAAAAGGAGCACACTTATCTGGCACTTGGCTACTTTGTAAGCCACTGGGCTACCATATATGTCATATGGCTTTTAGCTAGGGAGCCAGTCTCTGGTTCAGTCCATTGTGGCCAAGATATCTGTGTCTAATGACATGGAGCAATACAACACTTGCACTTCCACTCTGGCGACAGGTGTAGCAAGGATGGAGAGCCTCTGGAATATCAGTTTATGGCGGACATTTGGCTCAGTGCTTACTTACAGCCATGCTGGAAGTTTACAACTGGCAGGAATTCTGTGTGAGCAGTGCTGAGGCTGTGAGAATTGTCTTGACTGTCACCTTTGCATGGTGATTATTTGATCATTTAGGAGATGGGAACACTGTGCAGTAGAACATGGGCGAGAATCAGACTCTGGTTTTTGGCTTCTCCACTAGAACCTCTCTCTCTCTGCATTTCTTTGTGTGTGTGTGTGTGTGTATGTGTGTATATATGTCTTTTTTTCCCTCTCTTTCTCTGTCTCTGTCTCTCCCCCCCCCACACACACACGTTACACTTCTCATTACAATTACGCCTAAAACTAGTTTGAAATAAAAGTAATTTACTATTATTGCACAATTTCTCAAAGTATGCACCTTAGCAGAGATGTGGGCAATTCATCCTGCAAATGCATGCTGTTATCCCTACCCTTCCAGAGTTCTGTCTCAGATGCATGATAGAAGCACCAAGAAAAAAAAAAGTAAAAATTGAAGCCATTTACCTAAAGTGACACTTGAATGCAGCAAGATTTGCCATCCTAGTTGCTTAATATTTCAGCATCCTTCAATCTTTGGTGATTTTATGTACCTTCTATCTTTAGAACTCATTTAGAGCAAACAATTCCAAAAATGATACAGAGAGAATCCATCTGGAATCAATTGTTTAAAATGCTCAGCAAAACTCTCCTCTTTGGGACACTCCAATCCCCTAAATAGAGTTAAGATTAAAACAACTCTCTCATCTCACCCCTGGCCAGAAAGAGGGGGAAGGGGGTGTTCCAACATTATGGAGTAAGAAGCCCCAAGAAAGATTCCTTTCTATTATTAACCAGAACTATGTCTAGCTGGTTTCTTCTTGTCTTATACCTCCCTACAGTTGCTCTTAGCTTACATGAGCCTAGCAGTCCATTTCTCTTCTAAACAGAGGAAAGGAGGAGTGAGCTCACCCTAAGCAGGATAAGTTAGCACCAGGAGGTACAAATAAAATGATCTATAATCAAGTGGGCTATCTGGGCATCACACCTAACTCAGCTGACAGTATCCAGAGCATTGCTCAGTGGCATGCATTTTACCACTTGGGGCAGAAGGAAAAATGTCTTTCTATACAGACCAGGAACAGAAGATCTGTTCTTTAATAGGGAGCCAAACCCACTCGCTCTTCCCAGCTTGAACCCTTAAGGCCCCTTCAGATTGGGTTTCCCGAAGTGTAGTTTTATCAGAAATATCTTTGGTTCTTACCGTGTGCAAATTTCAGGACATAAATAATGGACCAGAATCTATATGAAGTGATTTTCCGAAACACCAGGAAAAACTGGGTTCCTCATCAAATTGCTTTCACTACCCATAATCCCAAGCTTCACATCTCCCCGTGTCTCTTTTTATTCGTCCTAATTAGCAATAAGTGAATCCAGTCGTGTTCTGTGGTCAACCAATGTACAATTGGATTTTATGTGCACTTCAGACTCAGCAACCTGCCTTATCCAGCTCCAGGCACCCCTGCATCTGTTCTCAAGGCCACTGTCTGCTTTTGATTTATTTCCACCCAGCAATCAAAAGGTTGATTCTATATGCATATCCGACACCCTGCGACCATGCTCTTTTTATACATTTCTCATTTTTGAGAAGTTTAAAGTTTTACCATGCAATGGCTGATTTGTCCTGCTCTGCTGAATGTACTGGGTGGGTGGGGTGGGGGGCGTGGGGGGTACATCAGTATTCATTTTGTAAAGAAAAGCTATCCAATGTTACAAGTGGTGGTGCAAAGGTGAGCAGGATGTCAGATAACGGAAGAGGGCAGGCATGTTGTTGACACAGGATGGTCTTTCTGAGCAAGGATTCAAGCACAGTCCTCTCTGATCTGAGGCCACCTTAACGGTAAACTACTTGGGAACATTCTCTGAATCCCCTCTCTGTCTGTCCCCCACCTCCATCTTAGTGATTGGCACTCTGTAGTCAAGACAGAAATGCTTTTAAGAAGAAGAAGAAATGAGCTCTCCACATATAATCTAATTCAGGACAAAAAACCTCTCTCAACAGCAATGATTTGCTATCCGGTTCTCACAGATCACTTTCAGATGATATAATACAGACCTTGCTCCCTTATGGGGACTCATTTATCTCATCCTGGGCTCAGACTGGGGCCCCTTGGATTTCTTAGCTGCTTCTTAGAGTGGGAGGGGACTGCTTAAAAGCTCCAAACATCCCCCAGGGGGCAGACCCATGAACTGTAAACAGAAGCTCCACCAGCCTCTCAAAGTGCCAAACCCCAGGCTCCTATTGCCCAACAATGTCCAATTTCATACCAATAATGTCAAATTTGAAATCTCCCAGTGTGTCTTTTTATTCATTCTAATTAGCAATGAATGTATCCCATTTAGGGTCAAGCCCTTGGAAGAAGCCTGGGAGGGAAAGCTTCCTTGTGGGTTGGCCAGAATTTGACCTAATGGTGCAAACCTCTGTTACACAGCCAGAGGGGGGCAGGAATCCAGGCAGCGTGACCACACCCCGAGTCCATCTGGCGCATCTGTCTGGAGGCCAGTGTCCTCACAGCCTTACGGAAGGTGCTTCTTATTCTGTCCTAGGTCTCACGTGAAAGCCATGACCAGCAGTAAGCTCAGACCAGGACTGGCCAAAGACTCTGCCATCTTCACTGACAGTGTCAGCTGACACTGACCACTTATCCCCCACTGACCATCATGTTAGTTACTATCCCTAAACAAACAGCTGCATTTTCAGAGGCCCTGGAAAAGGGCTCCTGGAACCCATGTGTCTATCTTTTTATACTTCTTCCTCTGGGTGGGGAGGTTCTCATAAGCCTTACTTCTCTGTGAGTTTCCTCTCTCAAAAGACTTGGCATTACCATCTGTTACACAGTCTAAGCTAGTCCTTTCCAAGTCATCTGTACTTCCAAACATCCTCAGTATTTGCAGGGGGAAGGGAGGAGCTACATACAGAACTATGCATTCATTCACTCCAAAAATATTTATTGAGTACTTATTATTATGGGCAAGACGTGATGGGTGCATGAATTACAATAATGAAGAAGACACAGTCCCTGATCCCAAGGACACAACCAATATATCACCAACGTCCAAAAGAGTATGTTAGGGTTTGGAACAGTCACCCTGGGGGCTGTGGGAGCTCAAGGGAGGGGTCTGACCCTGCCTTGCCAGGGCAAGGGAGGCCGTCAGAAGACGTCTGCAAACCCCTGTTCTGCGTCAAGTGTTGTTTATGGATTGAATAAATAGTGCCCCAGGCATGTTATGTTTTCAGCTGTATGAGATTAATTTAAAAGTGATGCTGGATGTATAGGATCCTTGTGTCTTCACGGGACTAGTTTTGTAATGAAAGCACATATACAATCAGGAAAACCATAGCATAGCTGTTAAGAGCAGGGACTATGGAGCCCGGCTTCTGGGTCATAGCTCAGGTCCCCTGTACCAGAAGTGCTGTGACTTTGGGTA